TATTAACAGAAATAACCAACAATCATCGGTTTTTTGTTTAAATATCTGATATCCATCACAAGATACTGTAAATGCAACATCTCGTTGATCACTAAATAAATCTTTTTCTAATAAATCTTTATATATATTTCCGTCAAAAATATCTTCTAAATCTTCAGATTCAATCTCCTTATTAGTAATATATCGATGTTGATAGAGTAATTTTTTTGCTCTATTTGCATCATAGAATTGTAATTTTAATCTGTCTTTTACTGAAAGGTATGCCATAATTTTTTTTTGCTTTGCCTCTAATATCTGATATAATAGAATTACATATTGGACAAATTCTACAAGATTCATTTTGTCCAGTCAATAATGATCTACACTTAAAGTTTTCATGGCTGCCTCAGCAAGAATTGAAATGTGTACTTTGCTTCATCCCTTTTCTCTCTGGAGATTTTTAAAGGCAGAATAACATGAAATGGCAAGAGAGGGTTTGGAGGGAAAATGATAGACGACTTGGTGGATGGGCGGGAAATAAAATTTTGTAATACGATTAATGATTTCGACCAATGATTAATTGGTGGTCACATGACTTTGAATTTTTATATCTGAAGAATTTTCGTTCATCGAACCGATCTATGTTTACGGAGAACGTTAAAACGATATATCAATAAAATTGAAAGATGAAAAAAAAAAATTTGAATTCTATAGTCATTTATTAACTGCTGCCCAATAGAGTTAGCAGTCGACACCGGAGGAGCCACCGCTGCCATTTCAGGTTTAGGTGCTGTCCGTTCAGCAACTCGAACAATAAAATGCTTGGACGCAAAGTAATTGGCTTAATCGTTAAGGATTTAACCAGAGATTCCCGCTATTTATTTTTTAACAAAAATTTTTTACCTGAACAATTGCTTATTCTATTGTATATAAACACAGTTTCAATAAAGATCATGTTAAAAAAAAAGTTTTTTTATGGGCATTTAAAATTTTATTATTATTAAAAGGATTAGCCCAAAAAGATTCAAATTATATACTATTGTCCGTAATTCTTAATTAATTAATTGAAAACATTTTTAAGATGAAAAATTATTTTTTATGTTCTATAATCAGCATTGATCGTAATGTATTCATGACTATAATCACAAGTCCACATTTTAGCTTCTTGATTACCAATGTCCAAATTCACACTGATTTCCAGTTCTTCCATTGCCAAAATTTCACTAGCTCTCGCTTCATCAACATTTTCAGGCTCACCCAGCGTGAGTAAACGTAAAGGAGCTGTACCATCCGTGGGTACGAATGAAACAGAAACTTTACCGGGAATAACAGACGAAACACCCGCATATCCTACAGCACATAAAATACGTCCCCAATTTGCATCTTGCCCGTATAAAGCGGTCTTTACTAATGATGAAGTAGAAATGGTAGATGCAATCTGTTTTGCATCCGCAAAAGTTTTGGCGCCCTATTCAAAAAACGAATTCAGTAAATTATAATTGAATAGTTTATGATAAATATTTACAAATTTACCTTAACGTGAATGGTCACAAATTTTGTAGCACCTTCACCATCTCTTACAACCAATTTTGCCAAATCGGCGGCAAATTCTGTGAGATCATCTCTAAACTGTATAAAATCTCCTCCATTTATGTCATCGATAATCAATTTCTCACCATCTTTCGTAGCTGCACCATTAGCCAATATAGCAAAGGTATCATTAGTACTCATATCATTATCTATACTGATGGCATTAAACGATCTATCCGCTGCGTGTTTTAATGCTTCGTTTAATGCTTTAACGGTTATAGGAACATCAGTTACAACAGTCGCCAATAAAGTGGCCATATTTGGATGAATCATTCCTGCACCTTTGGAAATCCCTGCCATGCTATATGTTAATCCTGACGGTAAAGTGAATTTTTTTGATCTTAACTTTGGAAAGGTATCAGTGGTCATAAAAGATTCCGCAGATTTAATCCATCCTTCATGTAATTCCTCATCTGAAGTGTTTTGTTGTTTAGCTAATTCATAAGCTTGATTTATACCGTTAACAATCTTTTCGATAGGTATATGCTGTCCAATCACCCCTGTTGACATTACTAAAGAACTTTCTTCTACACCATTTAACTTTGACACGGCATCGCTCATCATTCTCGCATTTGCCAAACCTTTTGTACCCGTTACAGCGTTAGCGCAACCTGAATTTGTTACTAGGGAATAAATATTTTGTCCATTACGTTTGTCTAATATCTCTCTGGATAATAATACTGGCGCTGCCTTAAATATATTTGTTGTGAATACTGCTGAGGATGTACACGGTCGTTCTGAAATTATTAACGATAAATCCTTTCGCCCATTTTTTTTGATGCCACAATGTATTCCTGTTGCTTTAAATCCTTTTGGATATGTCCCCTTGACAGGCACCAAATGCTTTTTTGCTTCTGGAATTTCTGAACTCATCTTGCGAATTTGATGATGAATTTTAGGTAAATTTAAAATTCGATTGGATTTTATTAAATAAGACATTTTTTTTTTCTTTTAAAAAAAGTTTGGTTGTAAAATTGAGTTTAAACGACTGACATTTTTATAAAAAAATCCAGATTAAAAACGAGATTAAGTCGGGATTTACCGAAAAAAGATTATCAAAAGACGCAGTAAACACGATAATTAACGCGTCAAATTAACAAGTTACGTTTAAAGTTTTTTTTTTTTTCTAGTTGTTTTAAGGTGTGAATCTCTAAATTATCTATCTAGGAATCTTTTTTACATATTATATATGGAAAAAAAAATATAAGCGTTATTTGTTGTTTCATTTGTGTGATTTCAAAACGGGTGATTTATGAGACGACAATTATATATAAATGAATTCCGATTAGATGAGATGAATAGGCGTGAGAATGATTCCTCTTCTTTTCATTGTTATCATGGTTTTCTTGTATTACTTGGTTTGCATTCTTGGGGAAGGGGGTTTCGTTATTGTTGAAATCTAAAGGTTTTAAATTGGAAGTCGAGCAATAACCAGTAGTGTTTATATTTACGATGGGTATTATTAATTATTATTATTATTATATTATTTATTGTTATAAGACTTGGGGTTAAGACAACGACGAAAATAGTAATATTATTATTAAATACTTGGGCTAAAATTTTCTTATAAGGAGGGTTACAGTATTTTGGTTGAGTTAGTGAATGATTTTTTTTTTTTAGAATTGTTTTTCGTCTGCGCCACAATGCATGCAACATGTCTCAAAAAATTAAGGGCAATTGAAAATCTGTCAATCCTATGAAAAATGTCAAAAAAAGAAAAAAAAAAAAAAAATTAAAGGAGAATTACCGGATTTAATGTGAGCAGAATGTAAAAAGATTCTATTCGCATTTTGTTGGACCGGGTACGGACTTTTGAAGGGAGGCGGTACTCATTTTGAGGCTAAAGTTCCGAAATTGATAGATTTTCAAAGAAAAAAAAAAAATTTAAAGTGAAACATTTTAATAGCAAAAATTAAGTTTGCTGCGCCACGATAATCAACTTCATATCTTCAACCTGAAAGTGAACCTGTATTTTCGTTGGGAATTTTCTCTCGTGAGATTTTCTAAATTCGAATTTATTCCCCAGCAAAAAACAACTAAAACTGGATGGTTGAATTTTATTTATTAATTTAACTTGTTAAATAACTTGTACTTGGTTTTTGTGGCAGTTCCACACCGATGGCTAAAAGTAGTTCCAATTTTTTATGCGAACTGCTGATTTTGAAATGGAGATAAGATGTAATCCTGAGATAAGATAAGTCGATCGGTTGAACTTAATATAAGAACTTACATCATAATCACGTGTCAAAGTATATTCAACATAATTGTTGCTTTCAACACCACACAAATTTAGGAAAGATAATCATAAGCATGTAACTCGAATTTAAGTTTGGAGTAAATAAAAAATCACATTTTTAGATTTCCACCCTTATTTATAAATTGTTATAAATTAAACACAAGAATTGTTTGATATTACGATTTTCAAATGTGAATCTTACGACTTTATTTTAAAAAATTTTTATAAAGAAAAAGAAAATTTTATTTTATTTTATTTTTTTTTTATCCCTTTAAAAAAAAAAATTTATCATGTCAGACGAAAACTTTACAGAGTCAAGGCCGCCAAGTTACGGTAGTATAGGTTCAACTTCAGGTCAACAGTTATCAACAAATTTACAAAACTTAGACCGGGTACCCTTTGAGGAAAGGGCACAACATGGGGCATATGTTTCATTACCCAGCTTTTCAGATGAAGAAGAAGATGAAGAAGAAAGAGACTATAACACATTAATTATCGAATACCTTATTACAACCCCTTTCATAATTTTAACATTAATTTCATTTATTCTGTTATTATACGCTTGGCCGACCACGGCTGATGGTACAGCTGAACATTACAAGTGGGATATTTTAATATTAGGAGCGACGGGGTGGTGTGCCGTATTCCTCGTGAGAAAACCCACATTTTTTATATTTTCAAAATTAATCAGTTTGAAAGTATCTACGAGCTCGATTTTAACTTTATTTTTTATCGGGTTTATCGAAGAACTCGTTAGAATGGGTTGGTTGTATTATTTTGTGGGCGAAGTAGATAAATTTTTAATGGCATATTGGTTAGGTTTAGGTTGGGCGACGGGTGAGGCGATATTCTTTATTATACAAAATTTTATAGAGCTCAGGTGGTATAGAGACGATTTAGAAATGGATGGGAGTAGATATGTTGAGGAAAGGAGTGAAATAGAAGAGATTTTGGGAAGACCCTTGACCAAAATTTCCGCTTGGTGGGGTGTAATGTGGAGATTTTCTTGGATAATGATTCACATTGGTTTTAGTTGCTGGATTGCTTCCATCTCTTTGTTGGTTTATCCCGCCGCTTTAATTCATGGTTTACTTCTTGTCGTTTGGGGGTATTGTTTACCTTCCTTCGGCATTCCCGCTACAAGTTACGGAACCTTGCTTATTTCCATGACCATCTTCTTAATCGGTTTGGCGTTATTTGGTCAAATAGTATAATGAAAGGATAATCTCAACACTTACATATACACTCACATATCACACACGTGCACCAACACCACACTCACATTAACAATTTTTATATTATTCTCTCTCTAGATTTTCTAGACTTGAAATTCTTACTTTTTGTTTCTTTTAAAAAAATTTTTTTTTTATTTATACATATTAAGAAAAAAACAAAAAAAAAAAAGTCGGCGTTTTGTTTGAATGTAAAGAAAAAAAAATTTTTTATAACTTTCTCACATAAATGTACTTGTATTATAATTTTTATTTGTAAACATTAAAAAAAAAAAAAAAAAAAAAGAAACAATTTACTTTTTTCTTTTTTTCCTTTTCCCATTTTAAAAAACATTTGTTCTATTGTTGAATGAATTTACAATTTCCATGCGTGCAAATCAAGATTTTCGTGTTACGTGAAAAAGGTAACATCAGCTAACATGATTTTTACCCGCCAAAAAAAAAAAAAAAAAGATTTTTAAACATGTTTTCATCAAATTTGATAAAAAATCATTTCAAGATTCCAAATCGTTCGATTCGAACAAGTTATTTAATTAAAAAGAAAATATTTCCCATACTATCATCACACAAAGATTACTATTATGGACATTCCCCGGGAAATCATTTTAGTTCGACGAGAGTTTCTCATGATATGTCAATAAAATCAGAAAAGTTATCGGTACCATCTATAATAGGGAATAAGGATCATTGCCCAGGTTGTGGAGCATACTTTCAAACGTTAGACTCGACCAAACCTGGTTACTTGATCAAACCTACTCACTCAAAGGGTGAGAAAGTTGACGAGAAACGTCACACTAAAAAGTTGACTAAACATGAAATTGAGGACGCGATAGATAATTTATCTCAAGATTTGAAAGGATTAATGTATCCCCTTGGGTATTCCAAATCTACACGAAAGACACGTGATAAAGAAGAAACGATATTTTGTCAAAGGTGTTATAATTTAAGGTATCATAATAAAATAATCAATTCATCATGGCAAGATACGTTAACTTTGGATAAATCATTCCTTCAATTTTTACAAAAGAAGCAAAATTCAATAATCTTAACGGTGATCGATATATTTGACTTTCCCGGTAGTTTGACAAAAGATTTAGATCAGTTGATAGGTCGACATCATTCGAATATTTTAATCGCGAATAAGATCGATTTATTACCAAAAGATATTGATCCAATTAGGATAAAAATGTGGTTAAAAGAACATTGTTCAATGTATGGGTTAAATAATATACAAGAGATTTTCTTATGTAGTGCAAAAAAGAATTGGAACATTAAAGAATTATGTAATGAAATATCAAGGATCAGAAATTATAATGATGATATTTATTTAATTGGTAACACCAATGTTGGTAAATCCGAATTGATCAATAGTCTTTTAAGAACTTGTGCTTATCATGGTGGGGGGAATTATAAAGTTACCTCCTCTCATATCCCTGGTACCACCGTTAACATGTTTGGTTTACCTTTGGACCTTTTTAATGATGCCCTTGGTAAGAATGTTAAAGGAATGATCTTTAATGAGAAAGATGATGGTAGATTTTTGTTTGATACTCCTGGGATTGTTGGTGAAAATCAAATATTATCTTACTTAAATCAAGAAGAATTAAAAATGGTCATTCCCCAACGAAACATTCTTCCATTGACATTTGAATTCAAGCCAGGTAAAGGAAAGCGATTTTGTTTATTTATTTGTTTGTTTGTTTGTCTTGGTTTTCAAGTTCTGACTAACTAAAAAAATCTTTACATAGGAAAATCTTTATTATTTGGAGGATTAGGTAGAATTGATTATAAGGAGGGTAACAAACCAATTCGTATAACAGTATTTTCAAAATTAATTTCACATATCACATCAATAGAGAAAGCAAACGATTTTTACGAACAATTATCATCATGCGATGAAAATCATTTCTTAGAACCTCCGATAGGATCAATAGATCGTCTTAAACAGTTCCCTAGAATAATCAAATGCAAAAGGGACTTGAAGGTGATAGGGGAATGTCATCCGAAAAAAAGCAAATGCATATTAGACGTTGTTTGGGGTGGTATTGGGTGGTGTAGTATTGGCGGAGTTAGAGATGGAGAATCTGTTATATTTGATGTTTGGAGTCCTGATGGGAAAGGCGTGTATACTAGACATGTTCCTTTATTACCTTATGAATTTCGTGGTAAACTTGAAAAAATAAACTAAAATATAACGGGAATAGTTGATTTTATTTTGATATTTCTATACTAAATAGGATCATCATTTTGTGCATTTGCAAATATAAAAACGTATACCGTAGGTGCGAAAAAAGATATGAACTTTCGAATATACTTATTTATTTATTTATTTTTGAATTAATTAATTATTTATTTATTATAGTATTTAAAAGAAATGACGGTATTTACGGTTTTATTGCCCATCCATACATACAAAATACATACAATTATTTAAATGCTTTTCTATATAATATCTACAAACATATGTATACGGATAGTTGAACCCGTAACTTTCATCTATTAGTATTAATATTATTATTAACAAAATTTCGAATAAATTAAATTAATATTTAAAAATTTGATAATAAAGTAGTAGCTAAAGAAGGAAAAAAAAAAAAAAAAGTAAATTAGCAAAGGTATTTCCATCTTTAAAATAATACAATCTTTGAATAAATAAGGCTGTCTCTTTATAATAAATTTTTTTACCAACCTTCAGAATATGTAAAGGGTTTAAGAGTTTCTTGTGAGATGTTAGGTATAATTAGCTGCGCTTCCGCAAAGATATCCTTTGTAAAAATGTCTTTAGCTTTTAAAACATCAAATAAATCACTTTTGACGTCCAGGTAAAATTTGAACTCCTTTAAAAGTTCATTCTTTTTAGCAAATTCCATTACAACTCTAAGATATTCATCCCTGTTTATATCATCGTCTGTTATGACGTCAAACTTCAAACATAAACTTTTTAAAGGCGATTGACATTCTTTCAACAAGGATGATAATTCCTCAACACTTATATTAAAATTAAGTGAAAGATGATGTAAAGAAAGTGAAAGACTCTTTCCTAATTGTTGAAAGTCTTTTGTTTCAATATTTTTAGTATCTAAGGTTTTTAATATTAAATGTTCAATTTTACTTGTTGATAAACATGCAAGTGATTCAAAAGTCTTTTGTGATATAGCCGCAGCCAAGTATACAATATTTGGACAATGTTCCAAGATCACTTCAAATAAATCGGGAACTATATTATCCACCGTTAACTCCCTTACATTTGTATTTGCTAAGCGAAGTACTTCCAGCGTTACCGAGGAGAGATCTCCTCTGTGAAACATTAACTTTTCAACCTTTAATTGAGAAGGAAGGTCTTCTAAAACCTTAACGGTTTCGTTAAAGATATCTTTCTCATAACAATAAACGAACTGCATGGATTCCAAATTGTGGAATTTCTTTAATGCACCTAAACATTGTTCATTAAGTGGTATATTATTGAATTCAACATTCTTTAGAGTGTTTGCATTGCTTGATAGAGCCTCAATAAATGACTTTGAATTATTAATCTCTGACATCTCTTGGTTATAATGGAAAGATAATAGATTTTTTTGAGATGCGATTAATTGCTGTAAGCCTTCTACTGAAAGTCCGTAATCATCTTCTGTCATATCAATATAAATCTTCTCAATACCGTTCGAGATATGAGATAATTTTATTAAAAAGTCGTAAAGGTTATCTAATCCCGGTTCAGATAAACAATCAATATCGCCACGAAATTCGAATCTACGAAGGTTGGCGAGAGTATATTTGATGCGAGGGAATGTTGATATAGGAGGAAGATTATAACCCTTCTTATATTGACCCAATCTTAATCTCCATAAACTCTGACGCTGACTCATAAGTAATTTTAGTAACTCGGTATATATTACATCATCCGGATCTTCGAGACATTGATCAAACTCAAATCTCCCAATCCATTCTTCAACAGCCTCGTCCAATTTTTCACAATCCAATTCCTTCAAATATTCATGATAAGGAAATAAGGGTCTTGGATATGAAGGCAGATAGTATCCCACTTTGCGTATTCTCATCCTTGCACTATTAGTGAGACAATCTAAATATGTACGAATCAATTCAAAATATTTTTTTGACTTTGATTCGGAATACTCAAAAGGACGACGCCAAAGTAATGGAATAATAATCCTACACCAAGTACGATTCACTAACATGCAACAGTAAAGTGATGTCATATCATTTACGAAGTATTGGAAGATTTCACGAAGACAATCGGAGGGTAAAGCTGAGAACCCAGTTGGAGTTGTCAAAAAACTCATGATTTACTCCGGTATTTATTTAACAAGGTTGTAAGTTTGTAAGATCAATCCAGAAAAACCAAAAAAATTTCAAGAAACCAAGTCCAGATTGGTTTGTTAACAAAGTTCCGTGGAACCTTTATACAAAAGAGAATATATATATATAAATTGTTAAAAGATTAAAAAAAAAAAAAAAAAGATATTTTTTAAATATCTTTACGAATATATTACTTACCTGAAGGAGTTCGCAATGATGGATATTTTTTTGTCTCCCTCCTAACGAAGTGAAAAGAAAAATGTAAGTACAACTGGGACAATTTTGTAAAAAGAGAGGCTGAGCCAATGGACCTTGCTTACAAATTCACTATATTGTGCTGAAGACAACAAAATCTTTTTTCCACAAGAACTTGTCTGAAATACTTGGAGATTCTGAGTAAAGAAATTTTTTTTATATTTTTGTATTTATATTATATTATTAATAGAAGGAGAGTGAAAATTTTGACGTCTGCAAAAACGCACGGTCTATATAGCACGGTATTTAATTTATCAAAAAGTCCAACAGATGATGAATATATTTATAATAGGGAGTCTGAAATAACCAAATCCCGTGATAAAATGATAACAATATATTGATGTATAATATTGTGTCATAATCTACACGCATAACAATATTTTTTCTTACCTCCATTCAAAATTTTATTTGTACAACTGTTAAAGTTCTGTGCAGACTTCACTCGGTTATATCTCAATTTACACTTAACAAACTCCTGAAAAAGATACTATGATGCAAGAAAAAAAAAACGGGGAACTGCGGAAGTTAAACGTGGTTCGTTTATTTTTGGATAATCCAATCAGAACAAAATCTCTATTTAAAGTTTCAATGTGTTCCGATATTTGTTGAACTGATTTTCAACTCAAATTTTGATTGATTATTTTTCTTTATGATAAGAAAAAAAAAACAATTGAATTTATTTCAATACAAAAAAAAATTTTTCTCATTCAAATTAAAAATAACAATAGAAAAGATGTCAATAAAATGGCGTGATACAGTATTTCATTCGTCGTTTATAAATTTTATAGTGATCGGAAGTTCACTTTTTGGTGGCTGTTGCAGTAATGTTGTTGCTTTGGAGTTATTAGTTGGGTAAGTTTATTTATTTAAACTTTATTTTTATTCATCAATTTTTAATTTTATTTATTTATATTTATTTATATGTTCACCTGTATGTAGTGTGGCTCCAAAGAGTGGCAAGTACAATTTAAAAACAGTATTATTAATTCTTGATTAAAATTTTGACTCATAACTTTATTATTATTGTTATTATTAGGAAATTTATTCACATTTGCACAATTTTTCTTCATATCATGTGAAGGATTATTTCATCATCTTGAATTTTCTTCATCATCACCGATACCACGTTTAAAAAAACGTACAGTACCAGCACACAGATGGTTTGTTATGGTATTTCTTTTTTTTACGGTATCAGTGTTAAATAACATTGCGTTAGGATATAGGATTTCTGTCCCCTTGCACATTATATTTCGTAGTGGAGGGTTAATTGTTAGTATGATATTAGGTTGGGCTGTAGCTAAAAAAAGGTAATTAATATAAAAATTCGGAGGAATATGAATTGTTTTTAACATTTTTTTTTTTTAAAAAAAAAAATTTATATATAAATATATATTTTTATATATTTAGGTATTCATTGAAGCAAGTAATATCAGTAGTAATGGTCACATTAGGAGTTGCCTGTGCAACGATAAGTTCAGCCAACGTAAACCAAAAGGTACATAAAGGCACAACAAACTTAGCGAACATCTTTTACACTTCACTAAGTTGATTAATCTGAAAAAAAAACAAAACAAACATTTCGTCCCTGAATAATAATTATTCTTCATTAGGAGGATATAAATAACTCCAAGAATACTTCGGATTATGTGATCGGAATCAGCCTTCTCTCCATTGCTTTAGTATTATCCTGTTTTATGGGCCTTTATCAAGAATTCACTTATGTAAAATATGGTAGTAATTGGCGAGAAGGTTTATTTTATACAGTAAGTTATTTCCATTAACGTAAAGGAAGACCAATTAGAAATTTATAAGAAAAGTTAACATTTATTTATTTTAAAGCATTTTTTAGCGCTTCCACTTTTCTTGATATTTTATTCAGATATGAAAGAACAGATTCAAGGATTCAATCAATCCATGCCGGTATCCCTAGAAAAAGCATTTTCCATGGTACCTGTTGATATTTATATACCAAATAGTATTAATCAAGTACTAAAAAGTTGTGTTATTCCAAGGACTTGGACATATCTCATTATGAACGTGCTAACTCAGTAAGTGACGCTAAGTCCATAAGTTTTTCACTATATTGGGTTTATTAAATAGATCGCTAACTTTAAAAATTCATCTTATGAAGATATTTTTGTATTTCAGGTGTACATAGATTAAACTCAATAGCAACAGCATTAACTTTAAATTTGGTATTAAATTTACGTAAATTCACTTCATTAGTAATCTCAGTTTGGTACTTTGATAATGAATTCCATATTGGAATGGCTATTGGTGGTATTTTGGTATTTTCTGGTACCCTGTTATATTCTTTGAGTAGCAGCAAAAGTTCATCAAGCATTGTGAAAGAAACGTATATTGAAAATCCAGAAATTATTAATAATGATGGTGTGAAAGTAAATAGTAAAGATTTATAAAAAAGGTAAAGTATAAAAGATAAGAGAATGATATGTATATATTTTTATTAATAAAAAATTTTATAATTATCTAACAAATACAAATCCAAATATATTAGCTAAATTGTTAAAAGTGCTAATATTAATAAAGGTGTATTATATTATATAGTAATATAAAAAATTTTTTTGTTAATAAAAAAAATTATTAAAATTTTTAAAAGTTTATATTAATAAATCAAATTTGTTTAATGATTTACTAATACAATCTAATTATTATAAATATTTCTTTGCTATTTATTAAATATATAAAAAATTATTAGAAAAATAGATTTTAAGAATTTTTTAACAATTTCAATCATCTTAAAATACTTTTAATAATATAATTAAATTATTTAACAGATTATAAACTATTTGTTTTTAAATTTTATTAAGATTAAATTAATATTGTAAAATAATTAATAATATTTTTAATAATATTAACTTATAAATTATTTTTTTTTTTATTTATAACTTAAGTATAATTCAAACATTTTAACTAATATAATTTAACTATCTTTAGTGATCTACGTAAATTTATTTATTTTTGATTTTTATTTAAATAAATTTTAAGCTTTTTTTAAAAAATACTATTTTTTTTTTAATTTAAATAATTTATTAATTAAATTTATAAAAATTATGTTTTAATAATATAAAAGTTTTATTTTAATAAAATATTTTTGAAATTAAATATTTTAATATTTTTTAAATTAATATATTTATAATATAATTTAAAAATAAAAAATTAATTTAATTAGTAAAATTTAATTAATAATATTTAATTATTTAAAAATTAATAAAAACTTATCAAAATTATAAGTAAATTTACTTATTATTAAATTAATCAAAATATTTAAAATAATTGTATATTATTTTTATTTATTAATTTTAAATTAATCTAAAAAAAATTTATATTATTATAATTATTATGATTTATATTAATTATATTATTTTATTTAATATAAGTGATAGTATATCACTTATATTAAGTTGTAGTATTATTCTATAATCTAATTATCACTTTAAAATTTAATTACTACTTTATAATTTATAGAGTTTAGATCTATTCATTCAGATATTTGATTTGACATTAAGGTTGCTTATCTAAACCTATTTAAAATATGCAAAACAGCAAAACTTTAATTAATACTATTTAAATTATTGCAAAATATTTAACCTATTATAAAATATTAAACTTTTACAAAATGGTTAAATTCTTATAAAATGATTAAACTTTTATAAAATAGTTAAATTCTTGTAAAATGATTAATCTCTTACAAAATAATTAAATTTTTACAAAATAATTAAACATTTATGAATAATTAAATTTTTATAAAATAATTAACTCTTGTTAAATAATTAAACTTTTACAAAATGTTTAAACTTTTGTAAAATATTAACTTTTTATGAAATGTTTTAAATTATTATAAAATAAACTACAGTCAGCTCTTTCTACAACGAATTTTGATATAACGAATTTTACAATACAACGGATTTTCAGTGTCAGACAGATTTTTAAATAT